ACATTTTCATGAGTTGTTTGAAGAACCCTTGTATGCACAGACTTCAAAATGGTTTAACTGTAAATAAATTTTTAATTCCATTTTCCATGAACATTTAGAAGTATCTATGTAAAAAACAAATTTTAAATTTCTATTTTATGACACTTTTCATGGTACACATTTATGTATACATACAATATTCATGTTTACATACGTTTTCAGTCCTCCCATCAACTTTTTAAAATATTTTACTTAATAATTATTTTAAATATTAAAAAAGAATAAACTGGGCCCAGCGCAATAGCGCAGTGGTTAAGGTCCTCGCCTTGCACGCCCGGGATCCCATATGGGCGCCGGTTCTAATCCTGGCAGCCCCGCTTCCCTTCCAGCTCCCTGCCTGTGGCCTGGGAAAGCAGTCGAGGACGGCCCAAAGCTTTGGGAACCTGCACCCGCGTGGGAGAACGGAAGAGGCTCCTGGCTTTGGATCGGCATGGCAGCGGCCGTTGCGTTCACTTGGTGAGTGAATCATCGGACGGAAGATCTTCCTCTCTGTCTCTCCTCTCTGTATATCCGCCTTTCCAATAAAAAGTAATAAAAATAAATCTTTAAAAAAAGAATAAACTTACCTTTAACTTTAAATACAAAAAAATAAACCTTCCAAAAATATTTTTACTTAATATCTATTTAGTTTTACTTTACATCAGTTACAGAGATGGAGTTAGGGAGACAGAGAAAGAGAGAGATTGAGAATAGAAGGGAAGACTCTTCCCAGATGACCACTGTGGCCAGTGCTGGGGCCAGGCAGGTGCCAAGAGTTCCAACTGGGTTTCCCACATAGGTGGCAGGGGCCCAAACACTTGAGTCATCTTCCGCTGCTTTTCCCAAGCTAATAATAGGGAGCTGGATCAAAAGTGCAACAGCCAAGTTTCAAATCAAGCTGGATTAGAAAAGAGCAGCTAGAATTCCAACTAACACTTATATGGGATACCAGTCTTACCACACTAGATCACAGCCAAAAAGCCAAGAAGCAATGGGATACCAGTCTTAAGCAAAGGTTTTACCTGCTACACCGCAACACAAGTTCCCTTTCTATAATCTTTAATAATTTTCAGCCAATAGTAACGGGACCTTCAGTAATAAAAGAAGATTAAAAAAAAATCTTGTTACATAAAAATTTTTAAATTTATTTTCCAAGCTTAAAAGAACTATATGAAAATCACTGTTCAAGAGCAGCTGAGGTTTAATTAGCCTAGAAATCAGGAAAACTCAGGGCTGGCATTGTGGCACAGCAGCTTACTGCTGCCTGCGATGCCAGCATCCTATATGGGCACAGATTCAAGTCCCGACTACCCCACTCCTGATCCTGCTCCCTGTTAAAGTGCCTGGGGAAAGCAGTGGAAGATGGCCTAAGTACTGTACCTACATGGCACACTCAGAAATCTCCTGACTCCTAACTTTTGCCTGGTCCAATCCTGCCCTTTGCAAACATCTGGAAAATAAACCAACAGACGGAATTCTCTCTCCACCCTTACTCCTCCCCTCCATCTTTCCCTCTCCTTCTTCCTCTCCTTTTGCCTTTCTCTTTCTTTCTTTTTTGTAACTTTGCCTTTTAAATAAATTTTTAAAAATAAAATAAGAAACCAGACTAAGAAAGATTATCTTCTTTCAAGTTGTCAAGCAGCTATCATGTGAAGGATTGATTTATTCTGTATGTAGGAATCAGAATCGCTGATTTTGCTCAAGTAAAAGAGCAAAATTTTGATGAATTGTACCCTAGAAGGCAGCAAAAAGCCTGTTACAGAAGTGTTCATCCTGGGCTATGTCACTGAGCTCTGGTTGGAGAGATTTTCCTTCCAAACCTATGAAACTTGGCAGACTCCCAGCATTTGAAATTTGACTTTTAAATTGACATGTCTGACTCTGTTATCCAGTAACCAGTATATAACATTGTTTCATTATCAACCATCCATTGATACTGTGCCTAAACAGAAAGGCTGCTTTTGTCCATCTCAGACCTTAGGGTCAGAAGACAGAATCTGGCTGTCACCACCTATTTTACCTTGGTCAAGCATTCTGCCCTCTCCTGTTATCACCATCAAGCAATAAACTGGAAGGGCAGATAACAAAAAAAATATTGCAAATGTATTTTCACATTATTTTTAAACTTTGAGAAATGCTGTATGGTAAGAATAGCTATTACAGTTCCCCTATTTATAAATGGAGAACAGGTTGTAAAAGGCTATTAGGTTTTCAGCTAGTAACAATAGTACAGAGGCAGAGTCCCAAGTTTCCATGTACAGACACATGCTGCTTAGTCCAATTATACAATGGAAAATAAGTGCCAACGTGTTCTATTATAAATCAATATGGAGGCATAAAGTATTAAGACTCAGTGTTAAATTCTCTAAAGGGACATCAACATATTTTTTCCATGCATAAATATTTCTGTCACATCAAAAGCTCTGTAAATCTTCCATTCTAACCAGCATGAAGGATAATCACTGAGATAAATGGAGATATTACTGGTCTTTTTGCAATGATCTATGCACTTAATTAAATAACCTAGACAAACGGATCCACTCATGCTGCACAGGCCTGACTCTGAGGATGCTGAAAGAACCATAATTAGACAAGACAGAATCAGCTGCATTTGTGCAACTGCAGTTGTACTAGAACCTGCTCTCAGAGTCAAGCCTCCCATCTGAACCAAACAGCATCATTCCAAACTGCACTCTCAATGACCAATGGGCAGTTACACTGAACTGCTGTAAACAAAGACATGGCAATCCCAGGACCAGACACAGTAGTGGATGGTGGGTGAGAAGGGGTGGGAGAGAACCCCAGCAGCCTCTGCATGCAGCACTAGGATGATCCCAAGAATGAACTTCCAGCAACAACACGTAAGAGGTAACAGCATTCCTAATGAAAATGCCTTCCCATCACAAGTCTGTCAATGCCAGTCATTCTTGTCTCAACATACTGAAAAAGCCTGATTACATCAAAGAGACAATCCTCAAAAATCCAGGAGTTACCGAAGGCTCTTCTATTACTGTCCCTCCAGGACAGAAAGACCTCATTCACTACTGTGTTTACTCCAGTGCTCAGTACACCACCTGCCTGGTACAAAGCTGGCCTAGGAAATAGGAGTATGTGTTGAGCATATTCAACACTGTAACATAATTTGAAAAAAAAAAAATCCCACGTCTTAGCAGGTCAATATTTGTGGGAAATCAAAACACACAGGTTTCATGTTCCCCTAATTTTCCTGAAGGAAGGCTCTTCTACCCGCACACAGGAATAAATCATTCTCATTTCAACTCTTTCTTTACATACTTGCTATGTTCCAAAACTGTTGGTGGTAGTTGCCATGCAGAATACAATTGGCCCTCAGTATCCATAGATTCAATCAACCACAAACTGACAACAGTTTGTGAAAAAATGCACCTTATACTGCACATGTACAGATTCCTTTTCTTGTCATTAGTCCCTAAACGATACAGTGTAAGTACTTACACAGCACCTATATTCTGCTAGTTACTCCAAGCAACTCAGAGATGATTTCAAGCATATGGGAAGATGCACATAGCTTTTATGTAAGCATATTTTACACCAGGGTCTTCTTGGGTATATGAAGACTTTGGTATCTATGGAGCTTTTGAAACCAAAATTGCCCCCAAAGATGATGAATTTTTGTTTCAGATATAAGAATCCTATCCCAATCAAAAGATTATACTTCAATATATCACTGGTTTGGAAAAACATAAATCAGACAACAACAAACAGTATTAATTCCAAAGTACCGACCCTGTAAGTCCCTTGGGGATAATTTGAGCTTAATTTTAAAAGGCCTGAGAGAGGACCTCACCAATAATTTAATTTACTTCAGTAGGAACCTGACTGGACAAACTTCGCTTTCAGCCCAGGATATGTCACCATCTAAGGACAATATGTCATCCCACTTCAGCAATGAGAACGCTAGACAGTTATAGCCCAGGGAGAACCATTCAGTGCATGTTTAAAATTACCAAACATTTCTTTACAGAGCATGAGAATTAAATTCAGTTTGGTACCACTGGCGCCCAAAAAAAGTCTATGTGAATCTTTTCTTTGGAGTCCTCGGGTGTCCAAGATTAAAGTTTCCAGTGCAAGGCAACTCTCTGAGCACTTCAATTATAAATTATCTTTGTGTAAGCAATCCTCTGACCCTGGCTCCCAGGAAAGGAAAGCAAATACCAGCTATAAGAATTCTCTGGCACAACATGGATCTAAATAAGTGGCTATTTTGCTACAGAAATCACTGTTAACAGCATTCCCCCAAAAAACTCCAACTTGTATAAAGCATGGTATCCAAGACTGACAAGCCCAGATAGGAAGTTTAGAGGCTGAAGCCACATAAGGGTTTATGAAATATAAGCACGAAGAATGCAGAATAAACAAGATCAAAGCCAACAACACATGAAATACATTTCAATGTGCAAATCACAAAAGCTGCTATAAGGGGCTCTAGCTCCCTCGTGAAATCTTCTGAGACTTCTGAGACGGTCAATAGTATTAACACCGGCAGATGTCTGAGTCAGGCGCAGCCAAGCTTTGCAGAATCGGACACACCACCAGCACTAACAGAATAACAGTGGGAACAAATACTGTCCACAGGCTGCAAAAACAACCCGAGCGCTTGCTGCTTCACCTCTCCCCCTCATCCAGCTGGTCAGTGGCAGCAGCTGCTTCTCCCCGCCCTCCTTCTAGGCCGCTCTTCACGCCTCCCCTTCCCTCCCCGCCCCCAGCTGGCGTAGTCAGCAGCCTGGAGAGATTAAGAGCTGTGGTCACTGGGCCTCCGGACGCAACTACCGAAAGCCAGCTCCCGGGACATACTCAACACCCTCGTGACATTGGTCGCCTTCACCTTCACCTCCACCCGGTCCTCTCCCACATCGGGGCTGATCTCGGAGCCCCGGGCCCGCGGCCGAGCAGCTGGAGAAGGCGCCTGCAAGCTGCGTCGTGCGCCCCGCAGGCCGCGCTACCTGAGCTGTCCATGGTGCTGGCGCGGTCCGGGGGCAGCCGCACGGGGCTGCGTGTGGCCGCCCCGGCGTTCACTCTCGACTTGGCGCCTCCCGCACCGCTGCCCGTACTGAAGTCCCCGTGACTGTCCACCAGCTGCAAAGATTCATAACCATCGTTGCCGGTCTTTTTCCGGTAGTTCCCGAGGAGGCTCATGGGCAAGCCCGGAGAAAAAGGGGGGGAGGAGTCAACCTGGGAAATGAAGGGGGAGGTGGAAGGTGGAAAGGGCTTAAAGAGAAATTTAAAAGGAAAAAAAAAAAATCAAGTGCCCGACATGACGCCAGGAGGAGGGTAAAGAGGGAACGACCACTGGAGAGGAGCTTGGCGGGCGCGGCGAAGCCACCGCCCAGGGCAGAGCGCGCGGCTCGGGGCGACGGGCGCGAGGGAGGGAGCGAGGGCGCGGGCGGGTGCGCGCGTCCTCGGTGCAGCCCCACGGAGCCGCTGGCCCAGCCGAGCTTAGGATCCAGGCCAGCCAGCCACCTTAGGGCAAGGGAGCGACCGGAAGCAATCCTGTAGGTGTCACCCTGTCCACCGGGTAGCTTCAAGAGCAGTAGGCTTGAGGGGAGGCAATAAAGAACAGAGTGGTGAGGCGGGAAGTGGGAAACTGGAAATGGGGCGGGGTGCTAGGGGGAGGGGACGCCTACGCCGCGGGTGGGAGGGGGTGTGCTTGCGTGGTAAGGAAGAAAGGGACTAGGTGAGATCCAGGCACGCCCATCTAGTATAACTTGGCCTTTATCTGCTGGAAGGTTCTGCCAGCCAAAGCCACCCCAACGGGTACCGTCCTGGAAAGCCGACTTGTAACTTGATTGAACAGAAAATCATGCTAAATGCCAGCCTCCAGTATACTTTGAGGCACAAAGAAAGCAGCGTTTTTTTTTTTTTCTTTTGCACATTCTTTGGAATAGCATTGATCCCTAAGAGAAAAGAATTGGTTCCTGCAGGGACCATGTCTGAGCCAGGTGTAACCCAGGAGCAGGATTTCCTGCTGAATCTCCCAAGTCCTTGGGCCATCATCTGCTACCTACCAGCAGCATTAGCAGGACAGGACGCTGGGTGGGAAGCAGAGTAGCTGGGACTCAAACTGGCACTCTGAAAAAAAATAGCTGTGTTACCATATGCTGGCTTAGCCAGCTGCATGATCACGCCAGCCTCCATGAGTATCTCATCCTACATCGCTGATCTTATATTCTTAAAGAAGATCCCAACATTGTGGAAGTTTCAGTACTTATAGTAAATCTGAATAGATTCTGTGAAGTCTCAAAAGTCACCTCCCCCAGGTTAATTTTCACTTGTAACTAAGAACTCAGAGGAACCCTTATTCCATTCTCTGATCAAGACCAGGTACCTTGAGAATTATCAGAGCACCTAAAAAAGAAATGTGTCGAAGTTTTTTGATGGCATTTCCTCACCAAAACAAAAACACTGCATGCATGTAAGGTTTGCTGGAGTCCATGCGGGATGCAGCTTTCCTTTTTTTCACTGTGTAAGCCTTCATTCTTGCTGCAATTGTTTTGATCATCTAAGAACACAAAATCAAAGGACAACATCTCAGAGGCTTCACCCTATATCATTTGGGACCCAAAGACTTTCCTGGAAGCTGCATAAATCTAAACAAGAATAAATTAACTGGATTGACAGATGTTTCTTGTTGAGGGATCATTTGAACACGGATCTGTAGAAAAAGGATGAATCTTGGAAGGTCAGGGAATCTTTTTAGATCTCTCCAGATGTTCGGGAAAGACCTAAGCTTCCCAAGCTGTTGTTTTCCCATCTGCATTATCTAACCAAGGTAGAAAGTCACCTGAATCATGAATCAGAAATAATGCCCATTGGCAACAAAATCAAAGAACTTGAATGGTGATGGCACGGACTCTAAGAATATTAAGCACAAATTTTATACTTTGAATGTTCCAAATCTGCTTGGTTTGGCTGTTTTGGTCCCTTGATTGCAATAAATAACTCTATAAAGTCTAGTAAAGAAATCTTTCCCAGTAGCATTTTCCAAGACCAGTGCTTACTGCACCAATTAAGATACCACTTGCAACACCCTTGTCTCCTATCAGAGTGCCTAGGGGATTTAAGTCACAGATTTGCTTCCGATCCTGGCTTTCTGCTGATACACACTCGGGGGGTGTGGAGGAGAGGGTGACAGCAGGTGATGGCTCAAGCACTTGGTCCCTACAACCCATGGCAGAGTCTCACTTGAGTTTGGGGATCAGTGCTTCAACCCGGCCCAGACCCAGCTGCTGCTGGCATTTAGAGAGTATATCACCAGGTGGAAGATTTCCTCTCTCCCTCTTCCTCTCTTCTCTCTCTCTGCCTTTCAAATAAAATGAATAAAAACTTAAATTGTTACTTTAAAAAAATCTTTTTCTGTGCTTTTGTTTTTATTCATTATTGATCCATAAGAAGAATAAATACCTAATGTCCATGTTCCTTAACAAATATTAATTTAGGGCCCGGCCCAGTGGCACAGTGGTTAGGGTCCTCCTCGCCTTGCACGCCCAGGATCCCATATGGGTGCCGGTTCTAATCCTGGCAGTCCCGCTTCCCTTCCAGCTCCCTGCCTGTGGCACGGGAAGGCAGTCGAGGACAGCCCAAAGCTTTGGGACCCTGCACCTTTGTGGGAGACCCGGAAGAGGCTCCTGGCTTCGGATCGGCATAGCATAAGCCATTGCGCTCACTTGGGGAGTGAATCATCGGATGGAAGATCTTCCTCTCTGTCTCTCCTCTCTGTATATCTGCCTTTCCAATACAAAAATAATAAAAATAAATCTTTAAAAAACAAATATTAATTTATAATTATTAGATACAGGAGACTTAGGACCGCTTTTTGTAAAGTAAAGCTTTTATTTTCAAAAAGAGCACTCTCGGTTATTTTTGCTCAATTTCATACTTACTTGACAAAATTACAGATGAGATATATGCCTTTGTAATTTTGGTCACCTGTCTCCCAAGTCTACAAATTTAAAGAAAAACAGAAGTAGACCCCAGGGTCCAGTGCAATAACATAGCGGCTAAAGTCCTCGCCTTAAACATGCCAGGATCCCATATGGCCACCGGTTCTAATCCCGGCAGCCCCACCTCCCATCCCTCTCCCTGCCTGAGGCATGGGAAAGCAGTCTAGGATGGCCCAATGCCTTGGGTTCCTGCACCCACATGGGAGACTTGGAAGAAGCTCCTGGCTCCTAGCTTTTGATTGGCTCAGCTCTAGCCATTGTGGCCACTTGGGGAGTGAACCACTGGATGGAAGATCTTCCTCTCTGTCTTTCCTTCTCTCTGTAAATCTGCCTTTCCAATAAAAATAATACATAAATCTTTTAAAAAGAGAGATTTATTCATTAAAAAAAGTAAGTACCAATGATTTTTAGTATTTATACATAATTTAATATAAATAAAATCAGTAAGAGTAACTATTAATAACCCATTCAAGTTAGGAATATAAATAATATGATAGCAGAAAAATGTAATAACTCAATTAATTCACAACAGTCTAGAACCTAGAGTTTGGGGTCAGGAGTGTCAGCATGTACCAATTTCAACACTAAGATTTTCTTTACAATCATGAAGATCAAGTTCATAAAAAGTTCACTTATCCATGAAGATCTCACTGTTCTCAACTACTACCTAGCCTGTACAGCACACTGCTTCGCAAATGTTCCCTATTGCTAGCATTTATCTGTCTTGGGTACAGCTCTGTCCTCAGTGCCTGGCAGCGCTGGGGTCTCCCTTGGGAGGAGCTCTTTAAAGGCTAAGTAGTATTTTTCGGAAACAGGCTAATGGAATGTCATCTACGTTATGATGAATGAGAATTGGGCTTTAAGGAAGAAGGGGTGGCACGGGTGGCATCCAAGGTGAATATCTAGAAGCTAAATCTACTTTTCTAGGATCAGTTATGCTCCATAAACCAAGCAGATTTACTGGACCAGGACTTCTTTAAGCACAAAAGCCCATGCTTTGTGCACCCTAACATGAGAAGAGTGCTTCACCCTCATCAAATATGTTTTTAATATCTAATTTTATTATGACCCACATCATATATGGGTCAGAAGCAAGGGTCACTTTGTAAGAGAGGGCACTGCTTCCCTCCATCTCCTTTATTGCTAAGTTGAGTCGCTTCAGTGGACTCCCTGAACCCTGTTCAGCTGCAGAATTATCAGCCTCCCTTCTTCTCCCTTCACACACACCCCAACTCTACTGTGCTCTCCTATCAGACCACACACCGCACAGCTTTTGCAATGGGGATAAGAGAAGGTGACCTAGCCATTTTGGAACCTGCTTGGGAATATGATCTGTGTTTTTTGATTCCCAGAAAAGTATAATACATTAGGCCCTGCAGTCATATTGTCTAGGACAGAATTCTAGATCCATCATCTCTTGGCTCAACGACCTTGGTCAAGTTATTTAATCTCTCCGCCTCATTTTTCTCTTCTATGAAATGAGCATAGTAATAGTGTCATCATAATACAGTTGTAGTGAGCATTTAATTCATTTCTAACATATAGTAAATGCTTAACAGATACGAATATTACTGTAACTGTTTGATTTTTACACAGATGAGGCACTTCCCCCCCCCAAAAGCTATTTCCTATCTATTAAAATTTGTCTTATGTTCACCCTGCCTAAGGAATGGTATTATTATGATATAATATGAAAGCATTTGTATATTGTAAAGGGATTATTCTGCTTTGAATTTTAGATATGTGCATGTCTGAGTTTTTTATTGGACCAGGACTTCTTTAAGCACAAAAGCCCATGCTTTGTTCACCTTAACACTAGAAGAGGGCTTCACCCTCATCAGATATGTTTTTTGATATCTAATTTTATTATTAAGTTAATAAACAAAAAGGAATGTCAAAATATTACCAAGGTGTAGGGAGTTAAGTCGCTGCCTGCAATTGCTGCATTCCCTTTGGGAGTACCTGATTCAAATCCCTCATTTCTGTACTTCCATTACAACATCTTACTAATCCACTCAAAAAGGCAGCAGACAACGGCCCAAGTACTTGGATTTCTGCCACCTACTTGGGAAACCCAGATGAGGCTTCTGGCTTCAAACCTTGCCAGCATTGACTGCCGTGGACATTTGGGGAATGAACCTAAGCACAGATATTCTCTCTCTCAACCTTTGAAGCAGATGAAAATAAATTAAAATTTTTAATTAAATAAAAACATAAAATAGAATATTGTAGCCTTATCAAATAAACATAGGGGTCACTATAGTGCTTTGGTGGGTAAAGCTGCCATTTGTGATGCCACAATCCCATATGGGCACCAATTCTAATCCTGGCTATTCTACTTCTGATCC